TTGGCCAGTAAAGTGTTATGGGACATGCCCCCCCCGCCGCCCCATTTGGGTGCCTATCCCAGAGGTTAGCCAGGGCTGGCCTGCTCCCATCGTCCGGGGTGTACAGGAAAGTTCCCATTCAACAGACAGATCCTGCTGTCAGGGCCCCCGAACTCAGTCCCGTGGGAGAACAAAGCAGCAGCGTCTCTTCCTCCTAGGTCTCTGTGCCCGGGAAGTATGAAGCCGCCCGGCGAGGGACCAGGGCGGGGCAGCTGTCTGAGCATCGTGGGGATGCACTTTGTGCCTGGGGGGAAGAGTCCAGGGTCACCGATCACCCAGCTGGCCAGGGTGGTGGTGGGGGGGATAAAGAGCAGAAAGTGGCCCTACACTGTGCGTGGGCGTGTTCGTCCTGAGCCGTTGCCGCTCCCCAAGTCTCCTCACAGGCCAGGCCTGTGTGAAATCCAGGGCTGACGTGTTCAGAGGGGCTGGTTGGGAGCGGCAGCTGCTGGGCACCTGTGCAAATCCACACCCCGGGCATCGGGCTCCCGCGATGATCCCCCTGCCCCTGGTAACGGGGTTCCTCCTCCCCCCGCAGGACATGCTGAAGAACACCCCGAAAGGCCACCCGGACAGGCTGTCGCTCCAGCTCGCCCTCACCGAGCTGGAGACGCTGGCGGAGAAGCTCAACGAGCAGAAGCGAGTGGCCGACCAGATGGCCGAGATCCAGCAGCTCACGAGGAGCGTCAGCGACCGCAGCAGCCTGAACAAGGTGGGGGCCTGACTCCGGGTGGGAAAGTCCCTTCCCGGCTCTGCCCACTAGAGGACAGTGTGTGTATGTGAATAGCTTGGGGGGCCCTCCCCCCATCCCAGCTGTAGCCTATGACAGAGCCGGGATCGATATGGCCTTGGGTGGCAAGGGGCGGGTCTCTGCTCTCCGGACACACGTGCTCCGAATCCCACGCGTCCTAGTTGTGGGCTCTGCCAGGTCGAACTGGAGCCGGGTGTGTGCCGTTACTTGCTGCCAGCATCCCCGCTGGGGCCGGGCGGGAGGAGGCGCTGGCACGGGGAGATCAGACTAGCTCCCTGTGACTCTGCTCTGCTCCCGTGGCTGGGGTAATGGAGCAGGAAATCACCGGAGAGCTGAGCCCCCCGCACACGGATTCTGCCTACAGCCTCTGTGCGGAGTAGACAATCTCCCTTTCCTGGCCAGAAGAATTCCTGAGTCTTTCTCCGGAGATCCACGACGCTGTCCTTGCTGCATTCCGGCTTCCAGTGCTAGGACCAAAACCTCTTCCTTCCTGTATCCTCTTCACCCTTCCCCTGACGTCCCTCCCCTGTCGCCTGCTGGAGTCGCTCGCTGGTTCTGTTTCAGCCCCGCGGGCCTGCCCTCTGCCATGTAACTGCACCAGGTCTCTGCAGCCTGGGGAGGGACAGGGCGGGATGCCACAAGGAGACCCCCTCCGAACCGGCCGCCCCCGGGTCCTCTCTTCTCCCGGCCCCACCGGCTGCTTTGTCTGCTCCACTCCTCTCCTCCGGGCGTGCAGGG